ATGCGTTACGAGTTCGGAATATTAATTCTGGAAAAAATAACTAATACGAGCCGCGCAAATTCAAATCTTTAATAAATCAAGTTCAAATTGTGGGGCAATGTGCCTTAGATTTAAAACCTAATAATATAGATTTTCTTACAAAAAAAAATATGTTTAGTTCTATTATGTCAATGCTTAACACAATTACGAAACCTCAATTATCGATAATTCCACAATTCAAATTAAGTTTAGGGGGCTTCTTCTTCTTCATTTTTGTTATAGAATTAAATCATGTTTTGTTACAGCAACGGAATTGGATGACTTATCAAATTATTATGTTTCTGTAGAGCCAAACGTCCAGTATTCACGCTATCTCTTTGGCGGTCGACGGGATAATCTCGCAAAAAAATAGTTAAAAAACAAATACCTATAAATAAATAATACATAAATTTAATTTATTTAATTTAATTTAATTTTTAATGTTTTAAGTTATATTTTAGTTTAAAAATTATTTAAAATTAAATAATATATAATATAAAATTAAATGCAGCTTCAAAAAATACGAGTGACTATTGTTTCTAATTAATTAGTTTTCCTCAAAGCTTTTATTAGACTGCTAATGACACGCTGCAGTAGCTAGCAAGCAATAACAAAGTCATGATTTGCTGGGTACCTGGTCACACAGGAATCAATGGTTATGAGTCTGCGGACTGTCTTGCGACGTCAGGATCTGCCATTTAAATCTGTGAACCAGAGTCTGTGAATTAAGTTGGTGTACAACTAGGTCTCTGATTGAGAATTGGTTTTCAGCTGACAGAAGTCGCTACTTATGCGACATTTCAGGCAACTGTCAGGCTAAAGAGCTGGTTCCCCCTACAGTTATAGTAAGGTATCCTTCTTCAGCAGAACAGAGTTAATGTTGCTAGTGGGATATTTAACGGGTCACCATGTACTGCGTTATTACCTTAACAAAATGGGTTTGTCCGCAGAGATAGATTGTCGACTCTGCTTAGAAGCGGACGAGACTTCCAGTCACATTCTCGAGACTTCCGGTCATATTCTCGAGACTTCCAGTCATATTCTTGAGACTTCCAGTCACATTCTCACATGTTTTTATTATAACATTTAAATAGAGCATCTCTTTACTTGTAGGTTTGTTTTATGTCGGGGAATGCATTAATCCCTTAATGTACATTGCAGCATGTACAGTTCTATAGACTGTATAGATTTGATCAATAATTCTATATTATTTTCTGCAATCAAATTGATAAGCTATTGATACTAATTATTGGTTTTAGTTTAATAAGGGACTTCAATACTTACAACTGGTAAGCGGTTTAGATTATGTTTCTCGTATAAAGCTAAATATTGTTACAGTTTTCTTCATCGCTGGATCCAAAATTTCTAACAAATTATTTCGAAATTTTTTGTTGTCATGCTTTCATAAACTTTGGATCTACACATAACATTGTGCTGTATAGTTAACTTCACTTTAAATTTGTTGCAGCTAATTCCCTAGTCCTTAGATCCATTTTCTGATAATGTGACTTCAGAAGTCATATTATAAAATCTATTAATTGATATATAAGATGCAACCAAGCCAATTCGCAATTAATTATGATATAAAAAATTAACTGTAGTTATTTAATAAATTAAATTAAATTTATTTTTTTAAAATAAAAATTATCTAATTATATGTAACATAAAAAATTTATATTTGATAAACAATCATTTTGTGATGTACGTTAATTAAAATGCGTACGACAAATAAAAGCAAAAAAAAACTATTACGCATAATACGTGATTGTTATGTGTATATTTAATAATTGTTTTTAAAATAAAGATATGCAATATAAATAAATAATTTAATATGCTTGAGCTGTCAATAAATTTTGTTTCAATTTTTAATTAATAAAAAACTTAATACGGAAGTTACATTTTTACAAGCGGAACTACGATCAATTATACGTGCAAGTTCATCTTAATTTATTTGTGCATCAATAATAGATCATAATTATATCCTCTCTTCCTATCTATGAATTAATGGAACCAATTATAATAGTACTCAAGGTATCAAATCTTGAGTACTATTTTTGTATTATTTCAAAAGTGACGTAAATATAGTGCTTTCCCTTTTCACTTCTGCTTCGGTTGGTTTCATGTCTGTTTATGAAACAAGTATTTTGTATTAGAAGGACATATACACTATCACTACTATTAATTAGTGCAAAAACCAATGCAAAACAATATGTTAATTTCCATTGTATATTTAGTAAAAATCATTAAAAATAATATGCGACTAGAGTACTGGAAAGACTTCCCAGGACTTAGACAAAACAAAGCACTGATAAAACCGTACTCCTACAAAAATATTCTTAAATTCTAAAAATGTAATTTAAGGACGATAATTAACCAACACATCCAAACATTTTAAATATGTTTATTAATTTTTTTAAAAAAAAATTATTTTTAAACTTTATATTATGTTATTAACATTTTTTCTTATCCAGAATTAGCTTCATTATTTTAACTTAAACTGTCGAGACAATAACAGGTGTAAGTCAAGTAGAATTATCACTAGTACAGATATTGGTAGGATTATGTATAACATCTAGCTCCTCATAACATCTGATTACAAGTCGTCTTAATCACGAGATCTACGAAGTTAATAATACCTAATCTTCCTCTTTTTCTTAATTCTTTTATTTCCTTGTGGAGCACAAGGCCTCCATAATTCCTAATAATTCAAACTAAGTATAATTCTAATTCTGTAATAATTATAATTCTAAACAAAAAGCCAGATATTTTTAACAATTATCATATGTAATAATTTTATATTGTTACCAAATATTTGCTTTGAATCCAGAAGCGGGACTTGGCTAATGTTAGGAAAGAAGTCACATACTTTATGCTACAAAGTATATTTTTGTATCAAATCAGGGTGGTAAAAGAAGACACCAGTGTTACACAGATAAATTCAGCTTAAAGTGCACTAACGTCTACTGTGAAAAACCATTTTACATTAATTATGTCTATTATGTCAGTATTCAGTCACATCTGTAATCAATACTGAATATTTAAATACTTTCGCCACATTTCTACCGTTAAAGGACATACTGTACCGACGTAAGTAAAAATTTGAATACAGTAAGGCGCAATTACACATCCTAAAATTATCTTGAAAGGTACGGAAAGGTATAAATATAGCTCACTCACCTTTAAAAGAGAATTCGTTAGGTATGAGATGAAGGGATCGCTCAAAAAGAACAATTATAAATAAAACATTCATTCATTATTTTAACGAATCACACGGTATATCGTAATTTGAACCGGAGAGCATAACACATTTTTTTAGATAGATTAACTTCATCAGCTTAAAATGCTATTATGTACCTACATATATTTAAGGATATGCCAATTATAATATTACAAATTTTTATTATCGACAATTAAGTATCCACCTTAAATAATAATATGCAAAGTTTTTTAATTTCAATAAAATTAATCCCCTGACCTGATAACTGATTGTGATACATATATTTTTGCATATTCCCACAAAAAATCCACTAAGCATCCATATAATTAATATCTTTTGACACAATGTCTCAGACCTCATTCGGTTCAATGAAAACCATATGAACGCTCAAGACATGTGTCTATGAAATTGCAGCACGAATGTTTCATTCTGCATTTCACAGAATCTGTAAATCTCAGTGTGTTTTCGTCTTATCTTTTATATATAGAAATTATGACCAGTTAAGAGACCAATGATTAATTTAAATTCAGACCTACTTGACTGAGAAACGCTTTAACATTATTGCTATTGACTTGAGTGAACTGTTTCAATTGCCAATATATTATATATAATATATTATATATATATATTATATTATATTATTATATTATATATTATATTATATATATTATATTGCATTTTTCTACGCGTTACTGAAGTCATATAAGTAGATATCTCGCAAAAGATTAGCGTCCTATAAAGACAGTTAGGGTGCCGTCTTTCGCAAGTTTGTGAGTTATAGCATTACCATTGAATCTCTCATTAATTGGTATTCAAATAGTACTTTATTCGTAGAAGTCAACTTAGATATACGATTTTTCAACAGATTTAACGAACTTTTATAATCCGAATATAAAATAATGTTGATATTTTTGTACCACCTTTTAAAGCATTCCATAAGATAGATTTCAGGGTCATACACTTCTGCCTGAAAAACTGTGGAAAAATGTATTGTTGGAGTGGTTACTATAACTTGCATCTGGATGCAATCTATATGTAATTCGATTTTGTTTGCTTTAATGCTCAAAGATGTATCGATAAACCGAACACACACATTTGGGAGTCGTGCAATATATCCGTTCTTCTGTTCAGTTCACTTCTCTTCTGAGAATGTATTTCGTCCAATGTATTTTATTAAGTGATTTGCCTTTAAACGGCATAGCTTTAGCTAAGGAAGGAAGGGGAAAGGAAGGAAGTAATAAGAAGGAGTAAGAGAATTTCATTTCTCGAATCTTATGATTCAATGACATTTCATATCAAACAGGGAAAGCTTGAAATAAATTTGTGTTTTTGACAAATTTCCTAAAAGTCACAACAGTTTGTTGGCCTACACTAAGATTATTTGCATTGATGTGACTTTGCTTCACAATGAAGTGTTTCACACGTATTACAATTTTACAATAATCTCTTGAATAAATTAAATTAAACGCATATCAGTTTACTTCCCACTATGACATCCAATGCAAGAATTATAAAATTCGATCACGTATCTCTACACATTTTCCTCATAAGCAATACGTAATAATAATGACAATTTCATGCCGGAATAAATCATATGAGTTTTGCACAACAATAAACACACAATATACTATCTATAAGAGACACATAAGTTATATTTGTGTGGAATTCATGGACTTTTGAAAACAATAGATCGCTTAATTGCAGACCCATTTTCATATATTTGCTCTCTCATTTAATTATTTCATTATTTCTCTCTTTTTTACAGGAAATTATTTTTCCAGTTTTCTACATCCAGCAGTGATTCAGGAACACTGTTTAATACTTTCCAACGAAGAACCGATATACAAAGGAAAATAGAACGGAAATAAACCAAACGATTTAAAATGGGCACAATGGGTGTCATATCAGCACCTTTACTACTGGTAAGCCAAAATCCATAAATGGTAATTTGTCGAAATCAGTATATAACCCTAGTTTCTTTTCAGCTGCTGGTCACTAGTGTATTTGCACACATACGCATTGAAGCACCAGAGGTACACTTTGCTCCAAAACAGAATCCGAGCTTTGTGCGTTCTGCGGTGGAAAGCATGCCTACAGATGCCGATGGTATGGAAACATTAAGCCGTTTTAGCATCCGACCATCTTTTGGTGAGGTATTTCTGCCTTTGCGCAGCGCTGTGGAAAGCGTGCCAACTATTAATTTGCGCACAGTTGCATCATTACATGAGTCTTCTCCATTACGTACCTTCGTGCGAGACTCAGTGGAAGCAGCTCCTGTTGATGATAGCTACGCAGATGAGGATGACTTCGAGGTAGCAGTAATACGTACTGCACTTAACGATGATTCAAAGCCAGAAAAACTAGTGCAGAAATTGGATACTGAAAACCTAAAAGAACCAGATCCATGGACTGTTTCAGATAAATATGCTGCTTTTGTGCAACCAAGCAAAGACGATGACTATTTACCCCAACCATTTCGTTCAGATTCGCCATATCAACAACTTGTGAAATCAATAGATGTCGAACAATTAGAACTCATAGAAGACGTAGAACGTGTGAAAGAGCAACTAGCTTATGGAGCACTCGCAAATACAGAATATAGACAAGAAATCGAGCTTCCGTATGGTGCTCTAGCTAATCTAAAATCAGCCAAACCTAACAACAAGCCAGCAAAGAAAAATTTCAACAGTTCACCACAAGTAATCTGCTATCTAACAAACTGGGCATTTTATCGTAAGGCTGATGGGAAATTTGTGCCTGAGCAGTTAAGCTCCAAACTCTGCACAACTGTTGTTTACTCATTTGCATCGCTGGATCCAGATCATTTAAACATTAAAGAATTTGACCCGTGGGTTGATGTTGATAATCAATACTACAAACGCACAGTAGAAACTGGTTTGCCGGTACTAATTGCACTTGGTGGTTGGACAGATTCAACGGGTGACAAATATTCTCGTTTGGCTAGCAATGAAATCAAACGTAAAGTATTTGCTTCAAATTTGGTTGGATTCATAAAACGGCATGGTTTTTCGGGCTTGCATTTAGATTGGAATTATCCTAAATGCTGGCAGAGTGATTGCTCTAGGGGACCTGCCAGTGATAAACCTAACTTTACGAAATTATTACGTGAAATTCGTTCAGAGTTTGATCGTGTGGACAAGAAACTGCAACTAGGAGTTGCAATATCTGGTTACAAAGAAATTATTAATGAAGCCTATGAGTTCCCTGAAATATCACAAGTTGTAGACTTTATGACAGTCATGACATATGATTATCATGGTGCCTGGGAGCGTCAAACTGGTCATGTCAGTCCTTTGTATGGTCGTAAGGGAGATAAATATCCACAATATAACACGGATTTCACAATGCAGCTATTGCTCAAACTGGGTGCCAAGAAAGAGAAAATAATAATGGGTATACCATTTTACGGACAAACATTTACATTAGAACGTCAGAGCTCATCATTAGTAGGCGAAGGAGTAGCAACATCTGGACCCGGCGAAGCTGGTGAATTTACAAAACAACCAGGTATGTTGGCATACTACGAAATATGCCAACGCATACGCAAACATAAATGGCTGACTGGTCGTGACTCAGAACACAAGTCTGGTCCTTACGCTATGCTACGAAATCAGTGGGTTGGCTATGAAGACCCAGCATCAGTGGAAGCCAAAGCACGTTATGCTGTAAATAGTGGTTTTGCTGGCGTTGCTGCGTGGACAGTCGATTTGGATGATTTCCAGAACCGTTGCTGTAGTGAAGCATATCCGCTTCTAAATGCTATCAATCGCGCTTTAGGACGCACAGCAACACCACCACCCACACGTGTAAACTGTGATCGACCAACGCAACCAGTGACACCAGTACCGCCAGTTATGACAACAGTTAGCAGTGACGGATCAGCAAGCGGAGGTCACGAACATCATACGACTGCTCGACCTAGTTGGGAGATGCCATCAACAACTACCATTAGTACGACAACACCACGTACGACCACAGTATGGTGGTCACCACCTTCAACGACAACAACCACCACTACCACAACAACCACCACTACAACTACCACAAGACGCCCTACTACAAAGAAACCAACGAAACCCGTACATGTTGAGCGACCTGAACATACCACAATACCATCCCCTGCTGTTGTACGGCCAGTTGTGCAAGCATCTAACTGCGAGGCTGGTCAATTTTATGCTGACAGATCTAACTGTAATGCATATTATCAATGCATTATTGCAGGAGAATTGCGTCAACAATTCTGTCCAGGTGGCCTGCACTGGAATGATATAAGTAAAAACTGTGACTGGCCCGCCAGTGCACAGTGTACGATTAGAGTTAAGCCAGAACAGACTTCATCTACAACAACCAGACCAACCAAAACTACTGCAACAACAAAACGTCCAACTAAACGCACCACTACAACGCAAAGGACATCAACGCGTAGCACTACAACTAATCGCCCAACTACCACGCCACGAACAACGGCTGTCACCAAACGAACTACTAAAATACCAAATAGAACAACTAAAGCACCCATTACGTCTACCAAGCCCACACGTAAGCCAACGAAAACAACACCGAAACCTGTTGCAAAACCCCCTCACCGACCCAGTGCTAGATGCAATGAGGGAGAATATTATACACACAGGAATTGTGGACAATATTATATCTGTGTCAATGGAGCATTAGTGCCAAACAGTTGTGGTAGCAATTTGCATTGGGATGGAATTCGACAAATTTGCGATTGGCCAGAGAATGTTAAATGTGTGACCACTAAGCGCTACTTGCGTATTGTGCAAACGAAAGCCAATCCAAATGATCCTTGTAATGGAGAGGAACGTGTAGGATATCCTGGCGACTGTACGAAATTCCTTTTCTGTCTATGGAATCGTTTACAAGCGGGTGATTGTGCGCCTGGTTTACATTACAACGAAGCAATAAATCAATGCGACTGGCCAATGTCAGCTAATTGTGACGAGTCCGGTGGAGGCGAAGTAGAAGAACTCATACCTGGTGGTAATGAAATTACACAGTCCAAACCTCCCTTACAACCCAAACCCGCTCCTTCTACTACCACTACAACAAGCCGTCCAACGACTACTACAGTTTCGTATCCTACTGATAAACCTGTATTAGAACCATTAAGTGGCTATTATAAAATAGTTTGCTATTTCACAAATTGGGCTTGGTACCGTAAAGGAATGGGACGTTACACTCCCGATAACATTAACACTGATCTCTGTACACACGTGGTATATGGTTTTGCCGTGCTTGATTATTCGAACTTAGTACTTCGAACGCATGACTCATGGGCTGATATTGACAATAATTTCTACACAAGAGTAAGTGGCTTGAAGAGTAAAGGCATTAAAGTAAGCTTAGCACTAGGAGGATGGAATGACTCGCAAGGCGATAAGTACAGTCGTTTGGTACGAAATGCTGCATCTCGTGCTCGTTTTGTAAAACATGCTGTAGAATTCATAGAAAAGTATGGTTTTGAAGGTCTCGACCTTGACTGGGAGTATCCAGTTTGCTGGCAAACTGAATGCAACAAAGGCATGCCAGATGAAAAGGAAGGTTTCACTGCTTTAGTTCGTGAATTATCTGAAGAATTCGTGCCTCGCGGGCTGCTATTATCTACTGCTGTTTCGCCGAGCAAAAAAATAATTGATGCTGGATACGATGTGCCACAGCTATCTAAGTACTTCGATTGGATAGCTGTCATGACCTATGATTTCCATGGGCAATGGGACAAAAAAACTGGACATGTGGCACCTCTTTACTATCATCCTGAGGATGATTTGGATTATTTTAATGCTGTAAGTATCACTTAGTCATTTGATTTAAATACTTCTAGCGAGAATACTTTTAGAACTATTCCCTGAATTACTGGATCGAAAAAGGTGCACCATCTAGAAAAATAGTAATGGGTATGCCTCTTTATGGACAATCTTTTACTCTGGAAAATTCTAAAAATAATGGTTTGAATGCCAAAGCACCTGGACCAGGTCAGGCTGGAGAATTTACAAGAGCAGCTGGATTTTTGGCTTACTACGAGGTAATTTGAATGTTACAAGATATTTAGACAGAAATTTAACATATTTGAATAGATTTGCGATCGAATTAAAAACCATGGCTGGGAAGTTGTTCAAGATGAACGTGGACGCATGGGTCCTTATGCGTTTAAAGGTACACAATGGGTTTCATTTGATGATGCAGCGATGATACGCAAAAAATCACAGCTAGTTCGGTCTTTGGACTTAGCTGGCGGTATGGTATGGGCCCTAGATTTGGACGATTTCCGTAATCGTTGTGGAGAAGGTGTACACCCATTGTTAACCCAAATACATAATGTTCTAAAGGATCCTCCAAATGGCAACGAAGCAGCTCGTAAGTTTAATTTTAATAAATTAATAGAAATTACTAACTATTCAATTTTTAGCTGGTTTAACACCTGTAGAAATCGAATCCCTGGAAGAAGAAAATAATTCCGAAGAAGTTGTAGCATCTGATGTTGAAATTGAAACAAATCACGAGCATGAACATCACAACCAAGTCGAAAATGAAAACGTGAGTGCACAAGAACAAGAAAACACAATTGATCCTAATGAGGATGTCGAGGATATTGAAGATCTTGAAGACACCAGTATAGAATCTACAGGCAGTTCAGCAGAAGACACTTCAACATCTAACGATTTCAAGGTTGTGTGTTACTTTACAAACTGGGCATGGTACAGACAAAATGGTGGAAAATTCTTACCGGAAAACATTGACCCGGAACTATGTACACACATAGTTTACGGTTTTGCTGTACTTAATAGAGAATCATTAACAATAAGACCACATGATTCATGGGCTGACTTAGATAATAAATTTTATGAACGCGTTATTTCATATCGTAATAAAGGTGTCAAAGTAACAGTTGCCATTGGTGGATGGAATGATTCAGCTGGTGATAAATATGCGCGTTTAGTACGCAGCGCAGCAGCAAGGGCACGTTTTGTTAAGCATATAATTGAATTTATTGAAAAATATGGATTTGATGGTTTAGATTTGGATTGGGAATACCCAGTCTGCTGGCAAGTAGATTGTACGAAAGGTTCAGATGAAGAAAAAAGTGGCTTTACTGATTTAGTTAGGGAGCTCTCAGAAGCCTTTAAACCGAAAGGTCTATTACTTTCCTCTGCTGTGTCACCAAATAAGAAAGTAATCGATGCAGGTTACGATGTACCGAAGCTTTCCAACTACTTTGATTGGATAGCTGTAATGACCTATGATTTCCATGGCCAATGGGATAAAAAAACTGGCCATGTTGCTCCTATGTATGATCACCCTGATGGTACTGAATACTTCAATGCCAACTTCTCTATTAATTATTGGTTACAAAGTGGAGCTGATCGTAAGAAAATTATAATGGGAATGCCAATGTATGGACAATCCTTTTCCCTTGCCCAAAGCAAAGATCATGATCTTAATGCACCTACTTATGGTGGTGGTGAAGCCGGAGAAGCAACACGTGCTCGTGGTTTCTTAGCATATTATGAAATATGTTCTTACATACGCAAACGAGGCTGGAACGTAGTACGAGATCCACGAGGCCGAATGGGTCCCTATGCATATATGCGTGATCAATGGGTATCATTTGATGACGCACCTATGATAAGACATAAGAGCGAATATGTTCGCGCTATGGACTTAGGTGGCGCTATGATTTGGGCTCTAGACTTAGATGACTTTAAAAATGATTGTGGCTGCGAATCTTATCCATTATTAAAAACAATAAATCGTGTGCTTCGTAATTATCCAGGCCCCCATCCAAAATGTATGCTGGAAACACGAGACAAAACAATGAGTAAGTAGTTTTTAATTGAAATCGAAAAATTAGCAAGTAAATACAATTTATTATCATTTTTCACAGTCGCAAATTTAATGGCACCTTCTTCAGCTTATAAACCACAGCCAACAGCTCAAACCAATACATCACCCGCACAAATTATTAAGCCAGTGGCATTAGATGAAGAGCAACCGACAAAACGCAAGGAATGCAATGGACGTAACTATGTACCACATGAACGTGACTGTAACAAATATTACATTTGTCAATACAATGAATTGATTGAACAGAAGTAAGTAGTTTTCTTAAAATAAAAAAAATAAATATTTATTTATGTACCTAATATTCGTTTACCGTAGATGTCCTGAAGGATTACATTGGAACGAAAACTACTGCGATTGGCCACAAAGCACAAAGTGCGCTGTACGCCAGGAATTAACTACGCAGCGACCAGTTATTATTAGACCGAAGCCAACAACCACAACTGCACCACCAACCAAGTCCACTAAAAAGCCTGTACAAACACCTCAAAAGAAACCAACATCTCGCCCAAAGCCAACACCTTCTCCACCACTTAATGATAACGAAGACTATAAGGTAGTATGTTATTTCACAAACTGGGCTTGGTACCGTCCTGGCGAAGGAAAATATTTACCTGAAGACATTGACGAAAACCTTTGCACACATGTTGTCTACGGATTTGCGGTCCTTAACAGCAACACGTTAACTATCAAAACCCATGATTCGTGGGCTGATATTGATAACAAATTTTATGAACGCGTTGCAGCTTACAAAAATAAGGGTCTACGGGTTACAGTTGCTATAGGTGGTTGGAATGATTCATTAGGCAGTAAATATGCGCGTCTTGTACTTGATCCGGAAGCGAGAGCGCGATTTATTAAGAGTGTGTTAGATTTCATTGAAAAGTATGGTTTTGAAGGTCTCGATTTGGATTGGGAGTATCCAGTTTGTTGGCAAGTTGATTGCTCGAAGGGATCACCAGCTGAAAAAGCAGCCTTCGCTGCGTTAGTTCGTGAGTTGTCTGAAGCTTTTAAGCCACGTGGTTTACTTTTATCAGCAGCCGTGTCACCAAGCAAAAAAGTTATCGATGCTGGATATGATGTAGCAACATTAGCTAAATACTTTGATTGGATAGCTGTTATGACATATGATTTCCATGGCCATTGGGATAAACAAACAGGACATGTAGCACCACTTTATTACGTTGAAGGCGATTCAAATGAATATTTCAATGCAAACTATAGTATACATTATTGGCTCGACAAAGGCACACCAAAACAAAAACTTATCATGGGTATGCCACTTTATGGACAATCATTTTCATTAGCCGACACCAAGCAGCGCAGCTTGAATGATAAAACAATAGGTCCAGGTCAAGCTGGTAAATTTACAAGAGCCGGTGGATTTTTAGCATACTATGAAATTTGTGAGAAGATTAGCAGTGGTGGATGGTCTGTGATACGTGATCCTGACGGACGTATTGGACCATATGCATATAATGGAAATCAATGGGTTTCGTATGATGATGTTGCGGATATACGACGAAAATCACAATTCGTACGTAGTTTAGGTTTAGGCGGAGGTATGGTTTGGGCTTTAGATTTGGATGACTTCCGCGGACGCTGCGGCTGTGGCAAGCATCCATTATTGCGTACTCTGAACCAAGAACTGCGCGGCATACCAGGACAACGAGCACACGATTGTACATAATATTAGTGCACAAGCGTAAATGTGAAAATACTCAAAGTTAACTGCAATAAAATAAAAAATTATTCTAGTGCCAATATATATAGCATATAATACAAAAGCATTTACATATTTATAATCACTCTGCAAATCAGTTTTTTGATTTTATGTGATGCAATATTGCAAACTCGATATCATTATGCTTAATTCCGTATTAGCAACTATAATTAAATACTTTATATTATATATAAGAAAATTAAAAAATAAACAAAAAAATAAACACAACTGTTTAAATCTTAACTATATTTCTTAAGAGCGAGTTTTTTAATTGAAAGCAGTTTTAATTGAAAGAGTACCAACGAAAGTCTTCTCATGAAGCATTGATGATCATTAAACGATCATAAAACTTTGTTGCACTGCATAATAAATCTTTGGTATATACATACATATATGCTTAAGCTGGAGAAGTCTGTTTATTTTGTTATATAATTAAAGATAGACAACACATAAAAATTTTAATCAAATATGTTCCTCGTATAAATACATATAATCTGTATTGATTAATAGATTTATTTTATTCTCGTTTCTTATTATTTGTCCAAAAAACCATTCATTGAGAACAATGTGTAAAGATATTATATGAAATTTTCAATTTCACAATTACCTCACTTTTGTCATTATTTTTAAAAGAGTACCAATTTTATACATATTTTTTTTTTTATAAAATTTTATAATAAAGTTGTCTGTCACTCAACATGGTAATGTTACAACGATTGTGCAAGTTTTAATAAAACGAAAAGAAAATTTCAGTAAAATACCAACAACAAATTGTTATTAAAAATAATTGAAAAGAAATGGAAACATAAAACACATAAAATTTATAAAAATATTTATATATATGATTTATATACATTATGCGTGCTGTTCTAAGTTTAATATTAAAAGAATTTTTTGCTTATTTTGCAACCCTGCGCATTATTCACCACGAGTTCACCACGAATTTGAGCAAGACAAAATCAAAAAATTCACTAATCAGCTGTTCGTGAGATTTATTTTGCACTGAGAAGAAAAACATTCGTAGCATTTGGTTAAATTGAAAGTGGTTATCTGTAGGGAAGTAGTAGGAAAGTTCGCATGACACCAAACAAGTGAAGAGTTGGACGGTATTCGCGTAGTTATGCAAAAAAGCTTTAATACGAAACAACAAAAATAGTTATTTCTGACTTCCGCGACTGAGGTACGGCGGGACTTTTTTGTGAAATGTTTACGAATATTTAATTTAATGCATAACGGCTTATAACGATATTATTCTTAATCAGGTTACTAATATTCAAAAATTTTGGTGCTACATATATCATTTTATTATTAAATAATAAAAACCAACTTCATAAACGGCTACGATGCTGAGTTAAACTATAGCACTTAGAAGTAAACATAAGGTGTGACGTCATTTGTGTATGAGAACAGCAAACAGTGTCAACAAAAAGTTTAACGATATAAACAAAATCAAAATTCGCGCTCAAAGTAAACAAAACAAAACCGTGATTAAAATTGAATGCATGAATTATTATTTGCTGTTCAGTGATTTTTTGAATAAATGATCATTTAAAAATATTTACGTTTATTTAAATTTACATTAATTAAAATTAAATACGCAAAGTGATAGTTACAGACAGTATGCATATCCAACGCACAGCAATCAGGAACCTATTAACGAGTTGTTTACGTTTCGAGAGCACTCAAAGTCAGAAATGTACACTGAAATTACCGTCCCAAATCGAAATGTTGAGATCCATTTGGAGAAGGCATATGTCGAGTGAAATTAATATAACGACTCCAATTACTTTCATCTCTACCAGTGTTGTGAGTAAAGTAGAGAAGCAACAGTTCTTGCCGCCGAAATCTCCTCAGTTCCTAAGTCCATTCACACAGATTTGCAGATCAACTCTAGTCCACTCAAACAATGTGTCACCTGCGATGACAAGTATACGTCCATACTCTAAGTTCACGAATATAGGCACACTTCCATTGTCCGAGGAAAAGGCACAGGATCTTATATTCAATTTAAAAGATTCAGAAAGAGCAGCCATAAAAACCGCACTCCAAAAATACGAAGCTGCCAAGCTGAAGGAGGGCTTCGAAGGTGAGCGCTTTCAAGTTATTTGAAGATTCTGTCGTTATTGTTTCCGTGTAGTACGCAACAGTTGTGTGTAATTTTCCTGTGCAAATCTTTTTATTCAGTAGGACATGTCATCCTTTTTTTCAAATAAATGTACGTGCTATTGATTATGTGCCTTAAATAAATTTTTTTCTTCTTTAATTTTTTTTTAATGATTTTTTACAAATAATTATGATTTCTATGACTTCTATGTGTTGCACTCTAAAATAAAATTATTTAAGATTTATTTTAAAATACGAGCGTAAATAGTGAAGAAATGCTGTATACTTCATGGAATATATATATTTTATTTTATAATACAATTATATAGTTTCTTATACTGTTGCCAGTGACTTCTTCAGTGTGGAATCAAAGCGATACATCCTTCCTCATAACAATGTAATATAAAGATTATAAGAACTTTAAATTTTTATATATTTATTTATTTTTTATAAATATATTTATATTTGATATATTTTTTTATGTATATATATATATTTATATTTTATTTTATTTATTTTTTTATTTATATTTATTTATTTGATTTGTATTGTTTTATATTTTCCAACTAATTTTAAATACAATCTTTAATGATTAAATATTAAAAAGTAGACGAAACTTTTAGAAATAACTGGAAAAAGTTGTTGAAAAAATTGTTTAAGTTTTTAAACAAAAAGTTAACACCAATAAAAATATATATCGATGTGTATACAAATTAAATTCTTATTATAATTAATTTACTGAACTGCAAAAAAAACATCGGCAACAAAATGATTCTAGTATATCCCCTTTACCCTTATTATAATCCTGGCTATGCTACATTAATGATATATGAATGAATTAAACTGTGTATGAAATCAGTGTATTTGTAGGTCAAATTAATCTTTAATATCGTTTTTAGGCATATTGATGATTGACTATTCGTCTCCAGCTTTTGCACATTATTCTTTTCAAGACAATTTTAAACCACCTTTTTGACCCACCTTTTACTTCTAGAGGACGCATCTATTTGTTCGTGTAATGAACCTAAAAAGTTGTCAATTTTAAACACCATAAATAGATGATTCTCATTATTAAATATTACTTCGGACACAGTTTTAAAGCGCTATGTGCTAATAGTGACAATTGTACTAATGCCAAATATGATATGTAGGTATTCATTAATAATTGCTTGTAGAGCATGATTCCGATTTTTTAGACTTACCTGTCCAGGTATTTTGGTTCAGTTAAAAAAAAATTGTTTTGTTTCACCTGGTTTTTACTCCGGCAAAAATATGTCTTTTTATATATTTTAAATATCAGGATTACAGTATCAATTGAATAATTTTTATTTATTTGTATCATAAATTAGATTTTTGCCATGATTGAAATAATTAATTCTTTTCAAATAGCACAGCGAACATAATAGTTTAATATAAAAGAAGCTTTTAGGTTTATAAATAATATATATTCTTAAATTTTTATTTATTAAACTTTTAATTATCGAAAAGAGATACACAAGAATAAATAGGTACGAAACTGCAGGGCGCTGATACGAAATAAACCGATTCAATTTTTCGGTTCGATACTTGTCTCCGTTTTGGGAAAAATATCGAATCTATCTAAAGAATCTATTTCTTAAAGTTCTATCTTTATATCTCGAAATCATCAGATACAAATTTGATAATCACTCAGAAATAAATATTTTTTTTGTGAGTAATGGCGTTAAATCTACAATACCTAATAGTATAATTTTGTTTTTATTTAAAATTTTTTTTCTGAATTCAACTCTTTCAAACATTTAACCTATTTTAGTCTATTGGGTATTTAAATACCCAAGAAAGTGTAAATACGTAAACCATTCTAGCGCGAACTAAGTGAAAGATTTTTTTTTGTCGGAAAATGCTGAGGAAAAGTGCTGTCAAATATTGGAAAATAAGAAAACACGAGAACCTCTCATCCTTATTAAGCAGTTTAATGTGTCCTCTAAGCAATAGCGATGTAAATATGATAGAAAAATAATCACATCAACGCCTGTCGGGTATTTAAATACCCATGCTATATTTATGGAATATTTCAAGATATCAAAAAAATTTTGTTTTTTTTTTCAACTTCTATGATCTCTAGTAGACATACATTGAAATTTCATCAAAATTATACTTATTAAAAATATTGTAAGTAAAACCGTAGGAGCGGATCTATAGGCAGACTTTAATGGGTTAAAGCTAAAATCACACTTTGGAACATTTCTGGGTTGAAAAAGTATCTTTAGTGAAACTTATTAAGAATATTGTTAGTAAACTACACCAAAGTAGTGATAGTAATCAGATGTGTGTAATGTAAATAATTTAAGAATAATAGCATAGTTAAGATATTTTTTATTAATTAAGAAATCTATAATATTGCAAAATTGCAAAAATATTTATATGATTCATACTCAATATAATGTAACAAATATTTATGGAAGTGAAATATTATGCATGCCAAAATTATTATGTCATTGTTGCATATAAACTAAAAAATAAATAGTCTATTTATAAGCGTATTTAAAACATATTAATATATATAGATGTACGTGCTATATGTAAATAAAAAAAATTAAATATTTAATTGCATTTGCATAAATTTTCATCTTAATATATAAAACGATTGATAGTCTAACTATACGGAATACCGTACAACTGCATATCTAGGGGTGCATACTTTCAGATAAGTGAGCACACAAAACTATGTTCAGGTTTTGAGAAAAGACTTTTACTTTTAGTTCAAAATTCGATTGAAAAAGTTTTGAGAGGAAAAAGTTGTCAGCAACTAGAACTCAGTAGTATGTTACCCCGATAATTAATTCGTTTACATTCTCAAGTTTTGAAATTTTATTAAATATGCAAAAACTTAAAACTGCTTTCAGTTTTTCATTTTGCTTCCATTTTGCACAGATACTATATACTATAGAAACGAAACTTTTGCTGGTGAATTAACTTCAAGTTTCAACGCTTGTATCTCGCATATTTAAGTAGTTTTTTGAGCGATGAGATATAAAATTTGCTATTTATTTTGAATTTTATTTGAATTAAAAAATGGATTGGCGCACGTTTTGTTTTGAATTTTATTTATTTTTTTTCTCTTTCCACAGCGTAAATTTTTCACAACTTTTGAAGGTGCAAGCAATTATTTACACACAAATTCTGGGTGGCAATTATTTATTATTTCCAATTTTTTTTTTGTTTTGTTTTTTCAATTTTTTACAATAACAAGTATACAAAATAAAATAGAAAATATGTTTGTAATAAAATTTTAACCATCATTCAAATGTCAACGTGGATATTTATTTTTATTAATAATAAATAACACAAAAGAAAATTCTCATAAATGTTGTTGATCCAAATTTTCATGAAATTTTTTAATGTTTTCATTTTTTTTTAAATAAATTTTATTTAATTAATTATATAAAAAAACCAATAAAATATAATTTAATTAAAAATTCTGCGTTAACTTGTACTCGGTGTCTATGTCTGACTTGCCATCATATAACCAATACACCACCGCATCATTCACAGATAAGACTGATTTCCTGGCAATAGATGAAACAGTTGAAAAATTAATCAAAAAAATATACCCAAATATATTTTAATAAAAAAAAATTTTATTCATATATGCTATATTTTCCTATTCAGTATTGAATCCAAAGTGGGTCCAAATCTACCATATGGATCTTTTGGCAACATAAAAATGTCATCACACCACGTATAGCCTAGTACGCGGTTTTCGATTAATTTCTTGAATGCAATGTTTTCATCTATCAAATCTCGATAATTATCATTTGAGATTATGACTGCATCTTGCTCAACTGAATTGCCAATGAGTAAGTTGCAATTGGCAGTTGACTTGGTAATAATATGGACGGAAAAGTGGAACATTTGCTTAATATCGCACAGTCAGTTCACAATTAAAAATAAAACTTAACATACAAGCCTATATATTATACATATTAAATAATATGTATACACTCTATTATGTATTGCATATACAAACTTAACTAAATATCTTAGTTTAAAACTTACTCTAAAGCTCCGGTTGGAGACATATGTGAGGAAGAAATAAGAAAAACTTGGCCAAATATATTTTTTCTTCGCCAAGCACTTTATCATCTGCAAAACAAAATCAATGCAAAACAATGTTCTATTAAATAAATAGATTCTAAAGCCAGCATATGACATACAACTGTAGACTTGTAGTAGTGCATTACTGTAATTCACTTAATTTGAAATTGTAAACTACATCCCGATCCAGATATATATTCTAATGGTACTTCTTCTTCTAAGTGCCTTGTCCACTTCGAACATTGGCTAACATGATTGATAGTTTTGTTTTGTCCACAAGCTTCACGAAAAAGCGATCTTGTACTTTTACAAAATCACTGTATTCGATTCTTAAGGCACGATATCTTTCTTCTTCCACGGTCGTGTCTTCTTCAATTCTTCCTTCAATGATTAGCTTGAGTAGACTATATTTTTCTGCATGCCTTAAAATATGATCAAAGTATTCTAATAAGTGACATTTTACTGTCTCTAGTATCTTTCATTCTTTGTTAAGTCGCAAAAGTACCTCCGAATTTGTTGCATGTTTCTTTTAACTGATTTTTAATATACGCCGATGGCACCACATTTCGAAAGTTTCAAGTTTATTTATCGACGCAACCATTAACGTCCACGCTTTTATACTATAGAGTAATATAGAGAAGACGTAACATTTCAGCCTCCGAAACCTTAATTATACGACTATTTAATAATAAGGATTTGTTTACCTTTTCAACTTGCACACGTATTTCCTCATAATAGTCCCAATCACGGTTGCCACTTATGGTACTTTAGTACCAAAATTGGTACTTTTTTTTTTTTTTTTTTCGTTTGGTACTCATGTTCAAAAACTGGTACATTTTTGACGACCCAACTTTATTGTGGATATTTCCAATTAATTTTTTTTATAAATGCAACTTTGCACTATTT